GGGCGTGGGCATCTTGGGAATCACCTGAGAAGAGAGAGCTCTTTCACCCCAAAATCGTGAAAGAAATTCAGGATGCACACGCTGTTACCTGGGTCGTGTACGAGCAGCTCCTGCACCAGATTAATGACTTGGACGGCGATGACGAGTCCACCAAATCGCGCATCGTTGCAGAAGGCAACAGATTGAATTCTCATCGTACTGGTCCTCGTATTGACAACCAAGACACTATTACAGCATGCAAAGGTTTCTCTACACAGAACGCCTTGGATCGGCTTGCATTGGAACTCGAGGCAGACGTTCCAACTGCCTTATGGCGCGCGGCAGCTGGGACAGACCAGCAGACCGAGGACGGGCAGCCACTGCAGCCAGGACAACTGCCTGATCCACTGCCGCCAGGCCCGCAGCCGATCCCACTATCAGAACCATTGCCGCCTGGTCCGCTTCCGGATAGCACGCCAGCTGATCCATCGCCACCAGACCCGCTGCCGACAGCCGCGTCAGTCCCGATCCCTGATGACGACACTGATGTGGAGGCGGCGGAGCTGGAGGCAACTCCTGCCGACGACGGACCTTCTCCCGATCAGCAATCGGATACGGTATACATACTGTCGTGGCAAGACGGTTGCGAGCGTTCCTTACATGAAGACACCAGCCAGACCCCGACATTCGACAATGCGTGCACCCCTCGTGAGTACAAGCTTCAAGCAGGTCACGCATATGATCATCCATACGCACCTCCTCCGTTGCGGGGCACGTCCGCGACCAATGGCATAGCTTGCTTGCAGGACGATGAATGGACGAGCCAATTGTCATACGACGATTGTGTGATCGCCCATGCGCCTGACATCGATCAGTCTGGTTGCTTCCCAGAGTGGAAATGAATATCGCTCCCGCCGTACGACGAGGTACGCTACGAACCTGAGCTGATCGAGGAATGGCTTGGCGACCCTGTTTGGATGAGCAAAGACATCACGACGATGCTACGCCATGAGATCCGCTACAAAAAGTTCCATCCTAACCAGTTCAATCATCGACGTATCAACATATGGCCGAACTCAGCACAGCACACTTGGATTATTCACAGCAATTGGAAATCATCTCAGGATATGGTCCATTGGAAATTTCAAGAGCGTGCACTCCACAATGGACCATCCACCGAGGCGGCCATGGCACACTTCAAAAAGGACGGTGAGCCAGATGGATATGGACTGCACTGATTACTACCCGATCTTCGCCATTCGTGCGTTCCAGAAGCACATTGACCCGCAGAAAAACCGGATCGATATATATGCCAAACCAGTCCCCGACGGGGGCGATCCCAGCTGCTTCGATTGGAACAGCGTTATCGCTATCAGATGCGTTGGAGGTCACAGTTGCGTCAATCCACTCTCCATACCGTGGAACATGGGCTGGGAGAGCTTACAATGGACCGACGTGAAGTACCTCCACCACGGCACGACACTTCGCGCCTGGCGAAGCATCCTCAAGTCAGGGATTATTCCAGGCTATATTGACCCGTCTTCCTAGAGAGACAAACACTTCCGAGGATCACCACGCACGGAGGCATCCTTCAGTTCCAGCACCTACGTAGACAACGTCCAAAAGAATCCTCACACCTCGGTACAATCGTACAAGTTCAAGCACTACAAGAACGAGGTAGAACTGGTAATCAACATGGAGATTGCCACAGAGGCTGGATGCAGATTTTGGCTGAGAGCACAAGGTGCTATTATGACTGAGGGCGTGGTTCCAGCCGCCGCAGTCATCGCCATTCGCCGTCTCGCACCACGCAGTGAGCATGGCAGGCAGATGCGGCCAGAAGGCACTACGAGATTTGCGCTGTTCCTCCTGGGACAGACACAACCGATGACCCTCCTGGGATTGCCCATGGCCTACGACACGGCTCAGCAGCCACAGACACAGTCCGCCTCAGCATCATCGGCCCAGCGGCCAATCGCCCCTCAGCTGGGGGCGACCCCCGCTGGCCATACATCTGACGCCGACGCTTTAGATGAGACGATGGTCCGTGCTATGGTCAACAGTTGTGGGCACAACACACATGATAAATAATGGTTGATCGCTATATCACATGGCAGAGAGGCCCTGCGACCCATTACATCAAATATTACACAGCAAGATTGGGGTCGAAGGCCTATCTTCAACGATGTTCGCATGGGGGACTTCAGTATCGCCAAAAATCGGGGCCTTACCAATTGCTACCGCTTTGACAATCATTCCCCCAAGGGCGACTACAATACGAAGGTGCGCATGAACAAGGGGCACATTTATGGACCAGTCATCCATTTCGGAGTCTTCGAGAAATTCTTCGCGGTACAAATACATATTCTCAACTACGGTTTACGATGGGTAAACATATGGTATTGCGACAGCACCATGCCCCTCAAGGGCGTTGTCTTCGCTTTGCCAGTACGTGCCGACATCGTCCCGAGCCACATGAATGTTGCATTTGAGGCCCCCTCTTCATGCAGCGACCAGGTCTATAAGTATAAAGAACCAGGTGATCTACCATATCTTGGAATGCCGAGCATTTACAAACCACGTATCCCACGTACGCCGACCAGACGCCCCGCTCCTCGGACGCCCGATCCCGACGAGCTGGTGGCAACACCTGCCGAGGATCCCACAGCAGACGACGAGGGGTCCCGACAAGAGGCAGGCCAATCCAAATAGCTTCTGGTAGCTGTCATTGTGGATATATCGACCATACCACTCACAGACGAGGAGAAAGCAGCCAATGATACCACGAAGGCGGATTTATCGGCAGAAATTCACGTTGATGAGGACATCGGCTCGAGCATCCTTGATACTATTATCGACCCGCCAGAGGATTTCCTCAACCACCCCGACTATGAGCCACAGGATGGTACAAGATGGATCTTGCAATCTTACGACCACCGCATATACCGCTGGACGTCGGAGATGTTGGTGGACTCACCAATGATACAAGTAAAACAAAATATTGAGGTACACACTGGCAGGGCCAACATCGCGGTGGACAAGATATAGTCAGACTTACGATTTGAGATACTCTTTGGACCAACAACAGACATATACCAAATGGATTACAATCATACCCACAAATGGGCACGCGACTTACCGATTTGCAGTGCAGATTGTTTCTTGAAAAAGATGGTTCACTACCTGGATCCGGGAGTCATCGAGGAGTCGACCACAGGCATCTTCCATTGGATTTCCAAAGTGTACCAACTCATATTGTTGGACAGCATCAAGGAGCTACGTGATTTCACAAATGATGCTATCTATCAGAACCATCCTGCCCTCAATACGTTGCGTGATCTCTTCGCAAATTGCATCCAGACACACGGCAACCCAGGCTTCCCCGTATGGAGGGAGCCGGTGGAGACACCTGCCGCGCCTGACCAGGACGATCCAGGCGCCGAGCAGGATATCCCCAGGGACCCAGACAGCGTTGCTTCCGCAGCACCTGATCAAGAAACCAAGGTGCCGGCCTCATTTCTGTTCCCGAATCCTTCCCCTGATGGCGTCTGGGTGATGGCCGCGCACCCTCCGCGTACTGTTTTTTAACACACAGGTTGCCCGGGAAATCCCGGGAAACGACTCTCGCTGAGGCGCCGCCCTCATTTTTTCCCAAAATGCTGCTTTCGTTGAGGCGCCGGCATCATTTCTGCTCCCGAATCGTTCCGGATCGTGCTCCCGCTGCAGCGTGGGCCTCATTTTCGGATCGGTGCTTGGCATCCGTCGTTCAGGATGGCGTTCTCGCCCCAGCGCGGGCCTTTTTCTCGCGCGCCCATCCGCCCGCCACCACCGCGCCGCACCGCCACCACCACCACCACCACCACCACCACCACCACCACCACCACCACCACCACAACCACCACCAGCACCAGCACCAGTACCAACACCACCACCAGCACACCACCACCACCACCACCAGCACCACCACCACCACCATCACCACCACCACCACCACCACCACCAACCACCACCACCACCAGCACCAGCACCAGCACACCACCAACCAACCCAACCACCACCACCAGCACCACCACCACCACCACACCACCACCACCACCACCACCACACCACCACCACCACCACCACCACCACCACCGACAACCACGCACACACGCACGCACGCACGCACGTGCACCACCACCCACTACGCACGCGCGCGCGGAGCCACAGGTCCGCTACGACACGCGTCCGCGGATAGAGAAAATCAGCGCCATGGTAAGGGATGGGAGGGAGGGGTAGGACGTCAGATATGACGCGAGCGCACCTGGCTTGCCACCTCCCCCTCCCCC